ACCTTTCCTTCTCCATCCAGACTCCTCCCCCACAGACACGCTAACTGCTATTAAAATCAGTCTTGGGTCTTCATCTGAAAAATGTCTTTCCAGCTTGCCATCCCAAGTATGTTTTCTGATGAGTAAATGGAAATTTCTTACAGAGAACATTATTTCTCATGTCTTCCACAGTAGTTCAGAGGAGCCTGTGTGAAGGACTTACTGCTTAGCTAATATATAAATGTGCAACAAAAACTAACCTGCCTCCTCGAGCCGCAAGAATCCATGAAACAGACAAACACAACAAATAGAGGAGGATGCCACAGGGTAAGAAGAGATGTGTGCAGGCTTTTGTAAGAAAAGGTAAGGGGTTAAAGAGCAAAAGTAGCAACAAAACTGTCACCACAAACAATTTGGACTTCATTTCCTGCTTCCAGTATGTGACCGGCTCTCCAAAACAGGGACATTTAGGGAAGCATTTTTCTGCTTAGGAAAACTGAAAACACATTACAGATACTGGAGTAATCAGAATGTAAACTAATTTTTAAAAAATGCATATAGTTCCTAGTCAGGCTGCCCTGAATAAATTGTATAAGGCTACACGTAAGTTTAAAGACTGCACATGGTTTTAGGATACCATGTCACCAACTAACATGGGACAGCATAATGGTTTTCCAATTTTTCTGGAATTATTTTTTAAATAGATCTTGAAATTAATTTTTGCTATACACATTATTATGTATTTTTGAGATAAAACCATTTACGTCTTCTTGGCCTCCAAAATTACTATCCGAAAAATGATCCAAGTTGAAGTTTCAAGCCAGAGCTGTCTACCAAAATTATCATGGGACAAAGGATGAATGCTGAATTAAATTCTAAAACCCAGGAATTCCATTCAATTCTACATCACAGGAATTTTCTTTGGAATGGAACCCTGAAGGTCATCCAGTGCAAGGTCCATCTCAAAAATGGGACTATGCCCATCATAGACCCGTTGAACCATCATTCTGTCCTTTTCTTTGGATAATGGCTGTACGCTGTCTGAACATCAAGACACATCCCCCTATGCACCTCTTACAGCCTAAACCATGACAGCATCGGCTTGGCGGGAAAGAGGTGAACTGGAGGCCTATTTCCGTCTGAAAGTGTGAAATGCCTGATAGTTAAGAATCACAGAATCATTAAGGCTGGAAAAGACCTTTAAGATCATCAAGTCCAACCATCAACCCAACACCACCATGCCCACTAAACCATGTCCCAAAGTGCCACATCTACACGCTTTTTGAACGTTTCCAATGATGGTGACCCCACCACCTCCCTGGGCAGCCTGTTCCAATGCTTGACCACTCTCACCATAAAGAATTGTTTCCTAATATCTAGTCTAAGCCTCCCCTGGCACAATTTGAGGCCATTTCCTCTCGTCCTATTGCTAGTTACTTGGGAGAAGAGACCAACACCCACCTCGCCACAACCCCCTTTCAGGTAGTTGTAGAGAGCGATAAGGTCTCCCCTCAGCCTCCTCTTGTCCAGACTGAACAACCCCAGTTCCCTCAGTCACTCAAGACTTATAACTCTTATAAGCTCAAGCCGCTCAACTCTTGTAAGAGTTATAAGGAACTGCAGATCTGGGATCACATCCCTGTGGCTGCAGAGCACATACGGCACACATGGTGTACCTTCAGCACACAATGAAACCTAACAGTTCTAGATCTGTTAGAAGGAAGCACAACCCAGTCATGTGCCTAGTGTCATGCTGATCCAGCTCTGAATCGTCTAAATACGCTTTTGTTTTGAATGAAAGTATTTATGGGTCTGTGCCTGCAGCCTCTTTTAAGTGAAGACCCATGGAGAGAGGCATCCAACCTATGGCCTTAGCTATATAGCCAAAGAAGAAACAAGAGAGCGTCTTGTTCGTCATTTCACATGTTTACCACCTGGGGACTACTGCTTTCTGAATCATCTTTACCACCGCTTTACCACCTTCTTTGAGTTTTGGAAAGAAGCCTCAAGTTGCAGTCTACCTCATTGCAAAACTAAATCCTAACTGTATTGGTCATCGACCAGTTCCTTTGATCTATGTTCCTATTATGCCACTGCCTTTTTTTTAATGCTCATCTTTCAGTATTTTACCTTGTGATCAGTATGGCTGCATCAACTGAAGACATGTCTTCTCCCCAGCTTGTTGACATTTCTAAGTGTATATCATTCTTCTTGCCAAATTCTTCATGTTGCCATTTGCAAAAGCTTTCCAGCATTTTTTCCCCGTGATGTCCAATATACATATCTGCCTGGAAATAAAAAACAATTAATTTTATTAAAATTACGATTCTGTAAACAGAATTAAGAACATTTTTTGACTGAGTTAACAACAATATTCTCCCTTTTACAGCATAATGTATTCATGGCAGAATGACTTGAATTTCAGCAGCAGGGACCATCTGTTTTCTCCTGTTAAAGATACAGGTGAAGACAGCGCACAGAGAGGCATACAGTGGATCTGTTCACCTGAACTCTTGTCTCATTAATTTGCTGATTTTTTTACTATCCATAGTGAAGAAAAGATTAATGATGCGACGATCCAGAATTTGAACATGACATGAGACTTCTCCACTTGCTGAGAGGACACTGAAGAAAGAAATACTTTCTTACTCACTGGAAAAATATAGTATTTTAAAATTAGAAACATGCATAAGGGAATTCCTCTTTCTTACGAACTGATTAAAATATGAAAGGATTCCCATACTACTTTGTAGAAACAAGAAGAAATCAAGTTGACAATGTCCTGGAAGGTGATATACAAACCAAGGGTTAATAGAAACTATCAATCAAGATATCAACCAACTTGTCTTTCTTCAGAAAGAAAGAAGAACAGAATTTGAGATGATGCCTGAAAGGTGTAATGAAAGAACGGTGCTATACCATGGCACCTCTTGTTTGTCTAGAGATTGCCTGACAAAGAACACAAGTACTCCTTCTACTGTCCACTGGGTTTAAAGGATATTATTTTTGTATTGAGCTAAATGACTGCACAAGGAGCAGAGCACAAGCAGACTTCCTTAAGAACCATCTGGTTTCCACAAGGAAATTGTGTTTGCTTGACTTCCAACTGCAAGCACAGAAAAATCTCAGTATGTGCAGCACATAAAGTAGAAGCTTAATCTTTACTGGAGCTGTGTGAATAACTAAATACTGTGGAAAAGCTAACTGAGAAAATTCATCAGCCATTAAAGTTGGTGAATATTGCAAGCCTTCGTGAAGAAACAAGCTAAGTGGCATTACTCTCTACAGGTTAAGACAAAGATAATATATACTTACTGGAGTCTCATGAAGGAGGATAAGCTTAGTCACACGAAGATTTACTTGCAGTCCAAGGCTCTTGTGCTGGAAAAGGTTAAAAACCTAAGAAAAAACAGTAAATAAAAATACAGGCTTGTATTGCACACTACCACACTGTAGACTAAAACAAACAGAACGTCAAAGAACCTCAAAGATTTCTCACATTCTACTGCGATTGCTTTAATTTTACATACTTTGAACAGAACATTAAGCTAATGTCTTGTGTTGGTCGTCTGAAGGGAAAACAGAGCTTAGACAGTATTAATTCAGGGAGCACAAAAAGACTTTTTCCCCTCAATGGCCATGACCACTTTATAAACTGTAGCCTCTTTTTCCAAATACTTACACATAGATACAACACTATTCACATGAAAATTTCTGTTCAGTTAAATGCAGGATTGTGGCCTGAGTGGTCTGAGCCAGCACATGGCAATAACTCTTCCTACTGTTCAGAACAGTTAAAAGTTTTTATTTCTTCTTCAGCTTATGCTCCTTCTTTAGAACAATCTTTCCTTGTACAGTACAGGTGCTGGTTTTCACAGCTTTATGCACCAAATGAGTGTGCTGCAGCTCCAGGTAGAGCTGCAAGTGGATGTAATTGTCCAAGTAATTACCCTTTGTCTTTTTTTCAGCCACTAATGATCACATAATTCTTCTCAACAACAATGTCACATCTTCATAACAAGCATATATCATGAGAAACCATCCAATGCCCCAGCCTTCCCAACAACATCATGGGCTTTAACCAAAATATCATCTGGTTCAGGTCTCACTTTCTGGCTTCATTGCTGAAGATACAAGACCTGATAGTACAGACAATTCTACAGCACCATGGTTTTATGCTGCAAAACATATGCAGTAAGTCTTGACAGCCTGCTGACAGTCATGTACTGGCTCTCCCTTACAGGTGCTCAGTCAGAATAATTAAAAGGAGCAATGAAATCAGCCTGCAGTGCATGCATTGTTGGCAAAACACCAAGTTAATTTTAAATTTCCTACCATGTTTAAAATGGTTAGAATAAATCTTCTGGCAGCATCTGTTCCATGATATGACACCATAGCTGGATCCGCCACTACAACAGTTTCTATGTTGTACTCCTGAGGTAACTTGTAAGAGTATCGTTTTCCTCTTCCACTTTCAGATGCTTTTTGATTCTTGGATTTTCTTTTATCTGTAACATAAAACATTGCTTGATGAAATCATCCTTCAAACTACCCCTACAGTACTTTTCAGATTTGCTACCTGTGATTATGGTATAACGCTGGTTATGTGGAATGTAATAGCTATGAACTCTAATATACCATTACTTAGCACTGTTAATGATACGGCTCAGACTGAAGGCCTTGTACAACGTATAAATGTTAGTCCACATGAAGAAAACAGGAATCTTACCCAACTGCTCAAATGAAGTCAGTCAGATCTTTGCATCCTTTCACCTAACATATAAAAAAGTATGTGCCTCCTAGTTTGGTTTGTGGGAGAAAACTAAATGCATGTTAAGATTGACAGAAATATAGTCTCACTGAGATTGCCTAATTGTTATCTACCCATCTTCATAAATTGCAGAGAAAACATTTTTATGTAATTGTATCTTAGCATAAAAGATGGCAAATACAGATTTGCCACAAATTCAGTATTAAGAAAATATATAGAAAATTCAGTGATTTGCAAAGATGAAAGAGTATTTCAGATGAATGACAGAGAATGATATGTAGTATAGAGGTTTGTTGGAAACAAAAATGTGAAGTTTTACCAGCACGACTTCAAAGTCTGTGCTGCTGTCATTATAAGCAGCTAAAGTAAAATAAAAAAACAAACCCTGGAAACAGGCTTCTAAACCTACAGAAAACTCCAAAAACGTGTTACATTTATGGCAAGCTAGAGGTTACTGATCTTGTTAATTCTAAGTTTCCCCTCCAAAACCATGACAATATCCCCTTTACTAGTACAGTACATATGGAAAAAGAAAAACTAATTACACAGAAACAGTTCAAGCCTGAAGGTGGTCAGATACGCACACAGCAGATAGCAATGATATTTAAAATAATTTAATTTAAAACAAAGTATAAAATTAAACTCCCTGTTGTAATAGCCAAATTCTGTTAGATCCCCTTGAGAGGACATAAAACTTCTGGGACTGATCTCATTGAAATCACTGAAATCAAGTGAAATTTTTTCCAGCTTCCACAATGGAATATTGGGCTCTCTCATCACAACAAAAGTGATGCTTGAGATGACAATTATAAACACATGTTCTGGAAACAATCAAATATTCAGAAATTTTGAGGAAATGTTTTGCAATTAATCAGTCTTGCCTCTAATAGGAAGGTTCCTGCAGTTCATTTTATAACACATGACTACTTTCCAAAAAATAAGTCACTCTTCAGGAAAGTGCTAAAAATATGCCTTAAAAGTCACCAAACTCACAAATTAACTTTACAATATGAGGTACCAGTGGAAGAATGATCTGCAATTTAATATAAATGTATGTGTAATATAGATTTAACATAAATATAACAGATAGATACTTTTCAATGTAGAAAGTATAAAACATCCATGCATAAAAAAGGTTGTCTATCTTTTACTGTAGTAATTTATTAATGATTCTATATGTGAGTGATTTAGTCCATCCTGCTACATTTTAGAAGGGCTTACTGATTCCTGTACAACTGGTGACAATGTGAGACTTTCTAACACACTGATAAGCCTACAAATTTACTAAAGGAAAAAAAAGTATACATTCTCCAGAAAAAAATATTAGGTGTTTGATTGCCTAGAAGTGGAAACAACTTATATATTCATAAGATACCTAAAATTAATTTTAACCTCTCTCATTTTGATCCTTCAGACACTTGCTTAGCCTTATGTGTACAGCTAACCTCAAGCTTTACTTGTGTTTGCTAACTGTGGATCTACAATCTAGTCTATTAAACATTATGTGTGTTTTCATCACTCTTTTGAGAATAATTTTTAATGAAATTTCAGTGTCGGGATTTTTTGCCAAAAACCCCACACCCTATAAGCTATACAACTATGACTTACCATACAAGCATCTAATGCTGCAAGAGTAGGCTATAGATCTAAGTTTAATTAGTAAACTCATTTGGGTAAAAAAAGATCTAAGATCTCTCATGTACAATCTGGTCAATCTGCCTTCCTCTGCCTTCCTTCTAGGAGCACTGATTGATTCCAGTGCAGTTTCCAGCAACACAGTTTATTCATTGTTCACTTCTTTGTGAAAAACAGCAGCTAGTGGTTGGAAACTTTAAATTTAATATTAGCATGGCTGTTCAGACAAGTCTGCTAACACACCTTTAAAAGTTTTAGCTAGCAGTGCATTTTTATTCCGAATTGACAGTAAGCAGCCCACAATAAAATACAGCATTGCGCTAAACGCTAAGGTCACCACAGTCCCATAAACTGTTGAAATCTCTCTTTCAGGATTATAGTGAATGAGAAGACTACATAGCTCTGTAGACAAGCTGGCTGCAACGGGCAGTGCCCATCATTTGCCTCAGATATCTGCCATGTTAACAAACCAAAGGACAATCTGTTCTTGGCCAACCAACCTTTTCCAAATTGCTGGCAGAATTCCCCATTGCATGAGATGTCATTTATCTGAAAATTTTAGCTCTTCGCTAAGTTCTTTAAATAAATGGAATTAGTAATTTTGGTACCAGTGGTATTCAAACAACTGCCATGATTACTGCCAGATAACAGGCAAAACAGGTTTTAGGCAAAACCACTTGTTTCTTTACATATTTATACATAAGTAAAAATTATGAAGAATTGCTCATTATTGAAGGTACACCATGTAAGAAATAATAACTCCTGAAAAAAAACGTACCTACATCAACAGTGCATGTGCTAACAAGATGAAAGTCAGATTAAGTGAAAAAACTGCTTCTTGGGATTAAAGATGCATAAATTAATCTTAAAAAATTAATTATATTGGCAAAATAAAAAATAAATGCTACAGGAGGGTTCTGCGCAATAAGGCTTCTATGTTTTGTGCAACTACAGAAAACATGAAGATTTCAGATCAATTTATTACTTAAACTTGGTTGACTGAAAGGAAAGCTAGAAATACTCCAGCACTCCAGCAAGAAAGGCTAGAAATACTGCAGCAAGTACATTTGACATTCAATAGGCAATTAAGAGAAAATAACAAGAAGTGTTAACAAAACAAGAAAAATCCCCCACAAAAAAACTGAAAGAGCTGAAAATCCAGCTACTATAATCACAGGTGGCATAAACTACCTGAGCCAACATTAAGAACCACCCATGACCACAGGACTCCTGGACAATGACAAGTCCTCAGGCACAAGAGCATTCCCTGAGTATACTTCCACATGAGGCCCAGACTACAGAGCAATGACCATCATTCCCCAGGCTTTCTTTTCCTGGGGAAAAGAAAATGGGTACCCTAGGCACGTCGAAATTGCAGTATTCTGGCTAAGAAGGCAATATGCAGGAGCTTAGGAAGCCATGAGCTACCTAAGCTACCTCCACTGTAGTTTGAATAGGGATTTAAAAGTCTTAATGCAGAGTGACAACTTGTTTCTGACCCAAGGCATGGAAACCAATACTTCAAGCATCACAAGTCTCCATCTAGTGCAATTTCATAGATCTAGACCTATGACCAAGATTGTTTATGTACTTTATTTCATGATTTTCACATGAAAACAGGCTGAGCAAGAACCAACACAGCTCTCCCACTTGACTGCCCAGTCTAAATCCCATGAAGTCAAATTTCGGCTTTTGATCCAGTGAAACTTGCAGGTGTTTTCCTGCAAAATGGCATCACTCTAAGAGAAGCACAATCTGCTTATAACCCAGAACAATCTGTTGTTTATCATCAGAACTGAGAAGTAAACCAGGAGGCTTCCAGTCTCCAAAATACAGAAGGGATTCAAAATTCAGGTCTACTGTATCCTGGATAAGAGCTCTCACTCACTAGTCTGTGTGAAATTTTTTTTTTTTTTCCCCAACGTGACCCATGCCTTTATCATGAGTTAGGTTCACTGTACAAACAACTTCAGCTTGGAGCAAGTGCTTCAAATTAAGGAGAAGGAAAAGAGCTTAGCTTTCCAATATGTCCCTTTGCTCTAACAGCAACTGCTTCTCACACATTTTCTCTGTAATACAGTTATGAACTGGTTGCTTTGGAAGATTTCATGGGCCATGTGCAAAAGAAAGGTGTAAACTGTGAGGTCTGTGTACGTGCAATTGGCTCACATATGTAAATAAATCACACACACATTCAACAAAAGGATATACACACACTCGCAAATCCAGAAAGCATCTGCTTCTGTTGGTACAATTCTCTCCCTTCCCTAATTAATAAGAAAAATCCACCCCATTCATAAAAACAAGTTCTTTGTTCTCTCCAAACAAGTCTGGCTGTGTAGTATCTTTCAATCCGTCCCACAACAGTAACAGAAAACAAACAATACCTTCTTTGACTGCCTCTTCTAGTTCTGCATGAAAAGCTATTATTTCCAATAGTGATCCTTCAACACCTCTGGTACAGGCATTCATTCCTTTGAATAATTACAATCAATCACTGGCAATACACATTTGCTTGAGAGGTAGCCAGTCTTTGAGATCAATTTGGCTCAAAACCAAAGCCAAAGCTGGCTCAAAACCAGCAGCGTAAATACCTGTCCCAGAACACCTATTCTGACACATGAGTACCGTAGAAGAAAGAAATCCTGTAGTAAGATAGGTCCATATAGCTGAGAAGTTGCCATATTGCTGAGATAATAGTTTCTCTGTGTCACACAGCTACAAGTCTACCAAAGGCAGCTGTGCATAACCCGAGACTATCAGAGAGCCCCATATACTCATCTGTTTTATCTTTGTTTCATTGTTCTACTTAGTTTAGGATTTGCCATAAAATTCTCAAATACTGCTGTAAAGGCTTATTTTTGTTGCTTCAACCCACCTTCAAGGCTGTGCCCGTACCATGAATGTTTTGGTGATGTTAGCTAGCTGCATGTCACACCAGCCAATTGCTCCTAGCATAGACAGAGCTTTTATGCATGTAACTTAACGCAGCCCTGCTTAGTAAAATAACCTGTAGCAGCAGAGTGAGGGACTGGTCTTGCTAGTATGACAGCGTCAGTTAGAAATTGCAGGTATTTATACCCCGCTGGCAATAAGGTTATGCCAGCAGATGCTAATCAGTTATGCACAGCTTGAGTTATTTTGAAATTTCAGGCTGGTAGTAGAGATAATGAAACTTATTTCAAGCAAATATTTGAATGTCTGTTGACAGACTATTTGCACCAAGTCAGAGCCTTGGGCATAAAATTATTAGAACAAAATAAGCTGACTTTCCCATTTTAGCGCATAAGAGAAAGTGAAAGGATGACTGGTAATGAACATGACAGAAGAATAATGTCCTTACAGAAGAGTTTGTATCTTTACTCATTTTCATACACATCATGGTTTGCTATTTGTCAGATGCTCCTCTCCCCTTTCCCAGTGCATATATCATGCATCCTTTTAATTGTCTCTCTTTTTCTTACTTCCAAACACATTCAGGCAAGCATGCTCTAACTCACTTACGACTAATAAGGAAGCATAACCAGCTCTACTTTATGTGAACAACTTCTGCTAATATAGAAAATTTCACTTTTAGATAAGCAGTGGCAATATAATATAATGCCTGGAAGAGAAATACAGAGTCTGCTGGAGGAAGTTACATGTCATTTATCTAGTCCCTCTTAATAAAGAGCCTTGCTTTGCTAATTCATCTTTGATTTCAAGCTGTGGATGGATGCCTAATTGTAGAAACAATACTTCCAAAATGGAAAAAAACCCTGTAACATTTATTCTGTAACCATATAAAATGGACAGAGCAGTATAAATGTTCAGGAAGAACCATACTGCTACAAAAAACCTTAGGCTGGAAGGGATCTCCGGAGGTCAGCTAGGCCAACCTCCTCCTCCAGTCAGGGCAAGCATCAAAGAAATATCAGCTCTATTAGAACCATTTCCAGGTGTGTTTTGTAAATGTCTGAGGCTGCGGACTCCACAGCCTCTCTAGGCAAGCTCTTCCAGTGCTAAGCATTCTTGCTGAGATTTTTTTTCCTTATGCCCAGTTGAAACTTCCTTGAATGCAAGTTACAGCTATTGTATTTCATCCTGTCATAGCATACCTCTAAGGAAAGTCTGGCTTCATCTTCTCTCTGCAGCCACTTCAGCACTGGAAGACTGTAGGTGCATCCTTCCTTTACCTTTCTTTACACATGTGAAATAACCCAGACCCTGCTGCCTCATCCCAAATGTCATATAATCCAGCTCCCTAGCCATGTCAGTTTACCTCAGCCATTTAGAACCATAGAATCATAGAATCAGAATAGTCTGGGTTGAAAGGGACTTTTAAAGGTCATCTAGTCCAATCCCCCACAATGATCAGGTACATCTTTAACTAGATCAGGTTGCTCTTTCCACTTTGTCAGTATCTCACTTACAGTAGGTTAGGAGACATGAAAAAAATGCCAATAAATGTGCACTCATTTTGGTTTATTTCCTGGCAAAAAAAAAAAATTTATGACAACAACATTAATAAAACCTTCAGCTCATTCTGAGGTCAGAAGGCTGAGATCATAGAATCATAGAATAGGTTGGGTTGAAAGGGACCTTTAAAGGTCATCTAGTCCAGCCCCCCTGCAGTGAGCAGCGACATCTTCAACTAGATCAAATTGCTCAGAGTCCTGTCCAACCTCACTTAGAATGTTTCCAGGGATAGGGCATCTGCCCCCACTCTGGACAACCTGTGCCAGTGTTTCACCACCCTCATTGTGAAAAATTTCTACCTTATGTCTAGCCAAAATCTGCCTTCTTTTAGTTTAAAACCATTACCCCTTGTCCCATCGCAACAGGACCTGCTAAAAAGTCTGTCCCCTTCTTTCTTATAAGCACCCTTTAAGTACTGAAAGGGTGCAATAAGGTCTCCCCAGAGCCTTCTCCAGGGTGAATAACCTATCAGCCTGTCCTCATGGGAGAGGTGTTTCAACCCTCTGACCATTTTTGTGGCCCTCCTCTTGACCCACTCAAACAGGTCCATGTCTTTCCTGTGCTGAAGGCTCCACAGCTGGACACAGGTCTCCAGGTGGGGACTCACCAGAGCAGAGTAGTGGGGCAGAATCACCTCCCTCAACCTGTTGGCCACGTTTCTTTTGATGCAGCCCAGGATACAGTTGGCCTTCTGGGCTCATGTGCAGCTTTTCATCCACTAGTACCCCCAAGTCCTTCTTGGCAGGGCTGCTCTTGATCCCTTCATCCCCCAGCCTGTACTGATATTGGGGGTTGCCCTGACCCAGGTGCGGGACCCTGCACTTGGCCTTGTTGATCGTCATGAGGTTCACATGGGTCCACTCCTCTGGATGGCATCCCATCCCTCAGGTGTGTCAACTGCACCACTCTGGTGTCACCTGCAAACTTTATCAGGGTGCACTCGATCCCACTATGTCATTAATGAAGATATTAAACAGTATGCATCCCAACACGGACCCCTCAGGGACACCACTCATCACTGATCTCCACCTGGACATCAAGTCATTGACCACTACCCTCTGGATGCGGCCATCCAATCAATTCCTCATGCACTGAACAGTCCACCCGTCAAATCCATCTCTCGCCAATTGAGAGAGAAGGATGTTGTGGGGGACCATGTCAAAGACCTTACAGAAGTCCAAACAGATGATACCCATCATCGATTTGATAGATGTCTTCTATTTTTAGAAAGATAGAGATGCCCTCTGTCTTTGTAAGAAGAGTAACTGATGATGAATCAGGAACATCAGAATGTTATCTTTCACAAAAGCCATTTTCCCCTCTCCATTGAAAACTATTAATCCATCACTACGTGCCAAATTTTTGTTGAAACCGTTCTACTTCAAGAACTTCTTCTACCTGCCATTGAGGAAGATGCATTAGGATTGCTTCATACAGTTCTTCCAGGTTCAATAATAGAACAAGAACACAGTTATAAAAATAATTTCAGTTCAGTGTCAGACACATTTGGAAGTTCAAGACTTATTACTACATGAAAATGGGATGAACTGTGCTAATGTTTTAAAAGAGAAAATTAAGTACAAGCACTGGATGTAGTAAGTAATTAAGCAACTACAGAGAAGGACAAGAAATAGGTTGTAATTATTAAGTTGAAGTAAAAAAATGACCCAAAGATTTCTACTTTCAAATATAATTGGACATTAAGAAGCAATGTCTACTCCTCAATGGGCAAATCCCTCTTCCAACAAGTGAAAAAGCAGGCTCAGCATGCCAACTCAAAGTTCACCATAAGTTACTCCTACAAGAATAATCAGATATGATATTGTTGGGGGTTGTTTTTAACTACTCTCTACATATAAATATGTCTGCTACATTAGATCTTTTCAGTGAGATTTGTATATTACCTGTAACAACACCACAGTACTGATTCTGAGAAGCTGGCTTTTCAGTAATTCTCTCCTCTATGGACCTTTTTCGTCTGTACACCCTGTGTGCATGACCTGTCACAGCCAAAGTGCGATTGAGTGGCTCAATAAATATGAAGTCCTCATTAATCTGTATAAACCCCATCTGCAAAGGAAAACAAAAGGAACACATAAGATATGAATTTAAGAAAGTATGAAATTGTGCACAGTCCTGCAGAAGAAAAAACCCCACAAAACTCCATTTAAGAAAACCTTTTGTTTTAGTAACCTTACCAGCAAGGTGACTACCTTTATATTTTACAAGCCTTTCTATTTAAGTGAACTAGGATGAATTTCATTTATTTCAACTAAATCTGTGTGGGTGGGTGGCTACATGCCAGTAGCAGATGCACAGTAAAAGATCTGGAATGTTAAAAGTTTGCTTTGGGAGACCCACAGGGTCATTTAAATACGTACAGCATGTACAGAAAAGTCTATACACTAGTTTTATTACTCAGTGTATTGTCACATTTTTAGATGACTATATTTAATGAAATAACAGGAATAATTTAGGGCATCAGAATACATCCCGAACAATTATGCATCTGGAAAAGACATTTGTGATGCTCCTTTTACACTTTGTCAAATTAAAAAAAAAAAAGTATTAAAAAAGGCAGCAATGCCTCCTTGGTTGCCAGCAGCTAAAACAGAAAAACATTCTAATACAGCCATTTAGTTTCATAACTTCCCCCCACCCCAACATATTTGTACACACAAACATACATAAAAAGCTAACACACCAGATGCATATCTATTATTACAACAGTGTGGCCAAAGTTAAAAACATATTTATATAAATACCATACAAATCTAACTTAGCTCAAATTGTTAAGCTGCCAACACACACGAGTTCCTATCAAGAGTAAAGCTGGAGACAGCAAGGTTTTGTGGGGTTTTTTCCCCTCCAGAAAATGTCATTAGCAAGATTGACAGTTAACTTTCTCATTCTCTAAACTTAAAAACCTGTTGAACAGTTTTTGCTACAGTACAACTGGCTAATAGAAGCAAAGTGCTGTTCTGTATATTTCCATGTAGTATGAATGAAAGAAATAGAAAAGAATTTTGTTTCTTCTGGAATTATGTAAGTGCCATTATCACACTGGATAGCCTGCCTGACATATGGATAAAGCCTGAAAAAGAAATTCCAGTCCAAGCAAGAAAACAAAATTAAATTTTATAAGTGGTACAAAATACAATTTCCTTCAAATATAAGCAGGCATTACTTTAAGAAGAAAAAAACCCAAACCAATCTCTCCGCACTATCACATTAAATAAATGTGAATACATGTGTGTAATTTTTCAGTCAGCTACACTAGCTGCAGAATGCTGAACAGATGTTGAAGGGTCATCATTAACATTGCACAGAAACATAGAGTAGATGGGTTTGTTTGGCTGTTTCGTTTCCTTTTTGTACTTTTTAGGTCAGTTTATCTTCATCACGAGCTTTAACTGCTACATGTTTACAAGATCAGCTACTTAGGTATTGCTAGGTACTTCCGGTACACCTACCAGATACCACTTCCATATATCTTGAATAATGTTACTTTTACATAACAATTAGCTTTTCTAATATAAACTACAAGTGATGTTAAATGAAATTTTATTTAAAAGCATAGTTCTCAAATGCTACTAAAATGCATAAACTATTTTTCATTCAATTTTTCTGACTAATGCTGAATTTCACTGAGACATAGACTTTTTTTAAATTATTATTTAGCTTATAAAGGTGCTGATAAGCTCTGGATATAGAACAGGAGCAGCAGCCCATCAGATGGTGCTGCAGGTTTCCCCTGTCTACTTACAAAAAACAAGGCCTTAGTCCACATTGAACAAAGACTCAATCCTAGCAACATTTGCCGTATTTGTTCTGTCTTCATTCTCTTTGCTGCAAGATGACGCCAGGGCTTTACGGTCCTGCTCTTCAGGCTGACAACTAGACATATTGAGGAGCCGTGCTAGGACCACTGACATTTTATGTTTTCTTTCAGCTGCTCGCATAAACTGAAAGGTAGTCCATTGGTGGAGAACTGAAAGAATTACTGCCAGTCTCCTGAGTCAGAAGTTAAAGAAATGAACACTGATATAAAGTTTACTGAATAAAATTAATGTCAGTTATATTCAAATGGGCAATTTTCAGACAAACCTGGATAACCAAATGATCTCTGTGATCATTTTGATCGCTTTTGAAAAAACATGACTGGTTCTTCCATCTCTTGGACAATTTCCCAGGTAGAAAAGGGAAGATGAAGCCATACCCTTGACAACCATGCCCTTATTTTTTCATAATCATTAGAAGTGGAGTTAAGATCTTCTACCATAAAACTAAACACAGAAAGCAGAGAAAATCCAAGCCTTGCATTAAAGCACCAGTTTCAATATGTTTTCAGATATTAGATGCCAGGGCCACATACAGGCTTCAGACAATTCAAATGGCAAAACTGACATGTCATGAAAACGTACAGCAAAGCAAAGATTAAAAAAGTGTAAAAAAATAATATGCATCTGGGGTAGAACTGTAAGCGAGTTCTGAGGAACTGATCCATCTCCCACCAGTTTCATCTGAAAAGATATCACTGCTCAGAGCTGCAACTGAGAAAGCTACTGGCATGGTGGACTTGTCGTATGCAAAAGGTAACATAACATGCCATCTTCCCCCCGCGCTCATGTATCCCTGCATTTGCAAGTTTCTTACCTGAAACAAAACAAAACTTAAATGTAGTACACATATATCTGAGTAGAGTTCAAGCCCTGGACAACCTAACTTGGCAAAAAATTCCTCAGACCTCCTAAGTAAGGATGAACTGGGTACTTGCTCTGCATTTATTTACTTTATGCAGTAGAGTGAGACATTAAGCACAGGCCAGACTTAATCAAATGTGCATGTAAAGCATTATATGGGACTAAGTATGGAAACTCTGAAATGGACTCACATCCACCACGTGTATTTTAAAGTGGACACTTGCCCTCATAAATGAAAGCTTGCTACAACATATTACATACACATCGTATAAAGATTTTTCACTTTCTTAAAAGAAACAAACACAAAAAGCCATGTGGAAACACTGGCCCTGAATGCAAACTAACATTTTGTCCTATATAAAATAAAAACAGTTCACATCTGAAATATGCCAATAATCACAAAATGTAGGCACATCGGAATTCTTCTGAAATATGAAATCTGAGTTTTTTTCTTATATCCAATCAGAGATACCATAGATGAGAGATAAAGAACAAAAAATATCTGAATATTCTGGGCAATTGCATCTGATAAAAGACATTATAACAGAAACTGCTTATGCCATCTTATTTCTAACATCTATGTTAGAACACTCGTGCTGTTTTCTGCCTAGCGTTTCATCCCTAAAAGGGCAGCAATTTCTTTTTTCCTATTTGGAGCATATTTAAGGACTTGACATTCTGTCATGTATCCTATGAAAACCTGAAGTGAGTCTACTGTTTCTAATAAAGTTATATTACCATGAGAAGTCACACAACCACAAAAGTGAAGTAAATTTGTGAAGACCACCTATGCATATAGTTACCAGATACTGGGTAACAGGAAATGTCAAAGGAGTTACAAATTTCTTTAAACTCGTATATACTCTTCCTTGCATACCAATTCAGAGTGGCAGCTTATTATCATTCAAAGTTGAAACAATGCAGATTTTTAATATAAAGTTGTTTCTTGCAGAATTTGTACAAATAAAGCAAGCAAAGAAATGCATGAAGAATGAATACACTTTCCTAAGAACAGGAACAGAAACGTAAGAAAAGAATACACTTCACTTGCTACCATTATCACAAAAAAACCCCAGGATGACAGAATAATATCCACAAGCATGTACTAGAGTCAGAGATTAACTCATTCCCGTTTTAATATCCCAGAGAAGAGATGCAGCAAGTCTAAAAGGAGACTTTACGTACCACAAGACAGTTATGAAACAGCATTTTATCAATACGTTGTGTCGTTTTCATCACAGAGGTTCACTGAAACGCAATAATAAATGCTGACAACATAATGTAGACTTCAAAGAAATATCAGAACAATAAGGCTTTTTTACTTTTTAAAAGAAAAAGCTCCAAAGGATGAGTCTCGGTGGCCTACAATTTATCATTAGTCACTTATGTAGTAGTAGTTTCTCATTCTGCAGCTTGGTGTGTCAAAGCAAAATATTTCATTCGCTAAACAATTCACCACTGTGGTGGGTTGACCTTGGCCAGCTGCCAGACGCCCCCCCAGCCGCTATCCTACTTGCCCCCTCCCCAACAGGTCAGGGGGAGAAAATTAGATTAAAAAAAAAAAGCTCATGGGTCGAGATAAGGACAGGGAGCTCATTCAGATATTACCATCACGGGCAAATAAAACCTGACTTGCAGAAAATTAATTTACTTTATTGACAGTTAAAACAGATTTGGATAGTGAGAAACAAAGACAAATGAGAACAACACCTTCCCCCTGCACCCCGAGCGGCACAGGGCAGATGGGGAACGGGGGGAATGGTCAGCACACAACAGTTTCTCTCTGCTGCTCCCTCATCCTCACGCTTTACCCTTCCTCCCTCTCCACAGGCTGCTCCAGTGTAGGCCCTCCATGGCCTGCAGCGTCCTTCAGGGCATGCCCACCGGCACTGGCCCCACGGAGGAGCTGCAGTGGGGTTATCTGCTCCAGCACCTGGAGCACCACCACCTCCTCCTCATCCTCTACCCTTGGTGTCAGCAGGGATGTTTCTCTCAGGTTTTTTCCTCACACGGCTGGGAAGCATTTTACCCTTTTCTTTCCCGAGGGGTGTTGCCGTCTTGGCTGAGGGGCTCAGCTGTGCTCTGTGGCGGGGGTGGTTGAG